TTCCTTCACTGTGAAAGGCCTAAAGTCCATGGACATGTACTGGGTGAGAGTGATTGCAGCTAATGATGGAGGAAAGGGGGCACCCGAGGAGCTGGCCAACTATGTCCTTGCTATGCCCTCACCTGGTAAGCCAAGTCTGGTTAGAAACTTAAGAGATAATAGGCTGAACATTGTGAAGAAAGGCATAATTTGAGGCTTAAAGTCTACTATCCATTTATCTTTGTACAATAGCTCTGATCATTTGTCTTTTCTTCTATATTTTTTTATCTTAAAATCTCTGAAAATTATTATTATTTTAGTAAGGCCAAAGTTCACGAGCCCTAAGATGAAGAGTTTCATGGTGGTGAGGGCAGGAAACACTGTCAGGATCACAATAAACTTTGAGGTGAGATTTATTCTTTAACTTTATTATTGGTATAAGCCAAGATGAATCGTGGTGTTTCTCACAGGAGGAAAACCAGCCTTACTATATTCAGGCTTCAAATACTCCAATTATTGCAACTGGTCTTTTTCCCAGGCCTCCCCGTGGCCAGATATTATATGGCTAAAGGACAATGTGCCAGTGACGAAGAGAGTTACAATAAGTAACTCTGATAGCTCATCTCAGCTGCTGATCCCCTCGTCTGAGCGCTTGGATTCTGGTATCTATTCCATTTTGGTGAAAAATCTTGCAGGACAGGAGACATTCAGTACAGAGGTCAGGGTCACAGGTAAAACAAAAACTCTTTTGCTACATTGATTTCAAAGACATGCAGTAAAGGATTTGATACCACTAAAACTATTTGTGTGTTATAGATTATCCAAAGCCTCCTGGACTAGTAGAACTGGTGGAAAATGTGCCTGGCACTGTGACGGTGATGTGGGAACCTTCACCTGACGAGAAGTGGGATGACCGCCTCCACTACACAGTGTCCAAGCTGGACTCTACCAAATGCACATGGACCACAGTGGCTGACAGACTCTTCAATAACAAGTTCACTGTCTGTAACATCATGCACGGGAGGGAATGTCATTTCCGAGTCTATGCCAAAAACGATATGGGCATATCTGCACCCTCTGAATCACCAACCTGGGGGATAAAGAAGAATAAAGGTCTGTTTGCGCATCTGACATAACCTCAAAAGCCAAACATTCACTTATCCAGGAAAAATGTCATCTTACTATGGAACCCCAAATCAGAAAAAGTAGGGACAGTATGTAAAATCAAAATTAACACTGAAAATAGTGATGTGTAAATCATCTGTGTCCTATGTTACACAGAAAACAATACATCCGTACTTTAGTTAATGTGATACCTCTTCAGTTGTTTTCTTTTCTTTGTTCAAAATAAACACTCACTTCAGTTCTGATGCCTTTTTCTGATTTGGGGTTGTATTTCCTCTCTTGTAGAAAGGTTCATGGTGAGCATACCAACCAGACAGGACTGTGATTTACGATGCGCTCCGACCTTCATTGTACCTTTGAAGCTTCACACTGCACCCAAAGGCTATGAATGCTGCATGAGCTGTGCAGTGAAGGGAAATCCCAAACCTCGTATCACATGGCATCGAAATCACATCAGTCTAAACACCAGTACCAACTATTATATCTCCAACACCTGTGGAGTTTGCTCCATGTTAATCCTCCATGTGGGCCCCAAAGACACAGGACAGTACACCATCACTGCAGAGAACGTCCTGGGGCAGGCTGAATGCTCCACTGTCCTCAGCATCACAGGTAGCATCACACCTGCACTTCACTTTAAAAGCATAAGAGAAAAAAAATTATTTAAAATCTTTTATTCTCTCTTCCACACAGAGTGAAGAAGCCAACTATACAAGCAGTGTTTATTTTTAAGTTGAGATATTGCATCACATACAGGATATTTGAATTGAAGTGGTTAGAAGGAAAAACTGTAGCAAAATCAAAGTGTCTTTTTCACATGCCTCCTTGCTGGGTGAAGCTATGAGTAGATCATCAACATACTGAACCATGGTGCTGCCACCTTCACACTTAACCTCTGCAAGATCTGCCTGAGCTGGCCATTTAGCCCTTAACATTTGAAACAAATCATCTGTATTAGGTTGATAACATGCCAAAATTATGTCAAACTGCTGCAAAGTATTTTCTAAATCCTTTTCAGGATTTCCAAGATCCATACACACCTGTTTAAGTTCAGAGGGGGACCAGGCTCTGTGCACAGGCACCATGTCATGTCCTCCTTGGGGCCTAGGAATGGGGAATGCTCTCATGGGAGCCAGCGTAATTTCACCACAAGAGGATTTTGTGGGAGACACAACCACCCTTACTGCTTCCTCTTTTCTTTGTTCAAAATAAACACTCACTTCAGTTCTGATGCCCTTTTCTGATTTGGGGTTGTATTTCCTCTCTTGTAGAAAGGTTCATGGTGAGCATACCAACCAGACAGGACTGTGATTTACGATGCGCTCCGACCTTCATTGTACCTTTGAAGCTTCACACTGCACCCAAAGGCTATGAATGCTGCATGAGCTGTGCAGTGAAGGGAAATCCCAAACCTCGTATCACATGGCATCGAAATCACATCAGTCTAAACACCAGTACCAACTATTATATCTCCAACACCTGTGGAGTTTGCTCCATGTTAATCCTCCATGTGGGCCCCAAAGACACAGGAGAGTTCACCATCACTGCAGAGAACGCCCTGGGGCAGGCTGAATGCTCCACTGTCCTCAGCGTCACAGGTAGCGTCACACCTGCACTTCACTTTAAAAGCATGAGAAAAAAAAATTATTGAAAATCTTTTATTCTCTCTTCCACACAGAGTGAAGAAGCCAACTATACAAGCAGTGTTTATTTTTAAGTTGAGATATTGCACCACATACAGGATGTTTGAATTGAAGTGGTTGGAAGGAAAAAGACTAAAAATAAAATTTTAATAAAAATTTTTTTTGCATTCCTCCATGCTATGAATTCTTTACTGTGTCCAGTGAATAAACCCAGAAAATGATCGCAGGACAAAGATTTAATTCCAAGTGGCTGTCCATACAGTTACTATATTGGAACATAGACTATGACATAAATCACATACTGTAATTTATTATAGCAAAGTGAATGTGTATTCTGGCTAAGATGCACATGTATATGTAAAATATACATATACTACTTATACATACAGAAAAAAATGGGGCTGGGAAAGTAATTCTACATGGTGTGAACCTGTACACTTGACGTATAATTCAATACATTTTTAATAACACCAAATCGCAACAAGTCTTCTCAGCACACTACATAGTAAGGTCCAGATCTCATCATCGAGAAACCCCCAACAAATCCCCCTTGAGCAAGCATTTGGCGACAGTGGAGAGGAAAAACTCCCTTTACTTTTACAGGACAAAACCTTCATAGGAAGAAACCTCCGACAGACCCCGACTCAAGGTGGGCGGCCTTCTGCCTCGACATATGTCTATGATGGCTACTGTATATGGAAATGCTAAACACATTGTGGCTGAAAATCCATCTTAAACAGATGACAAAGCAACAGGAACCTAATGTTTAAGATTTTATTTATTGTCTGTCTCTGTCAGGCTTGCTCACTCCCAAAAACACGGTCTGTATTGCAGCTACCGCGCAACGGAGGTCTGACAAAAATCCCGTCTACGTATGAAGCTGCTGAACGTATCCCTCTGTCAGTGACAATAATTTACAGGGGCATCAATATTACACGTGGCCAAAGAAGCATAATGACAGCTTGCAGCAGCCTAAGCTTAGACGTTTATTACAGTAAACCTAACTTAATGTATTGCTGCTATGTCTTAACCAGAAGATGTTACGTTTAAGTTAGTACAGCTTGAGTTATACAGTATATTGAATGTAATGTTTGTTCTTGTACAAGCAAAATTAACCTGCTGGATTTTTGAAGGGACTTTGGTCACTTATCAGAAAGAGACATGAGCTTATAAAGCTAAACAACGTGCGCTGTACTTGGTGCTGAAGAGAAGAACCTGAACAACTTCTGACTCCAGAATCTGAAACACTGACCCCAGCATCGACCTCGTAAATCAGTAACAATCCAAAGAAACATGCTTTCGCTTCATGTAGTTTTCACTATACATTTATTTCAGCTACAATTTTTATGAATTAAGATTTTACACAAAGTGTGCTTAAGAAATACCTGATGCCTCTTTGACAGTAGTTTACATTTCTATGCCTCTGGTCGTAACAGCCTCCTCGTGGTCCCGTTTGCGTCAGCAGGTTGATTTCTCCAGCTTCAGTTTCCTAAGGTTGGGCATCAATAAATAAAGTCACTGAATCTTAAGTACAGTACAATGACAATAAAAATTTAATAAAGTGGACTGAGGTGGATACCTGATGTTTCTGAAGAGATCAACAACTCGTGGTGCAGAGGAGTCATTGTTGATGAGGGTCTGGTACAGCAGGGTCTTTGTCTTCTTCACAGCTGAACACAACAACTTCTGGGTCCCAGCTTCCCACGTCAGCTTCTCTGGCGAGACAAGAAACGGCTTGGTAAATTGCAACTTTTCAACCAGGAAGTAGAATGTACTTTTCTCCAACATATCAAAGATTATAGCCCGTCTACCCACATGCTTTACTCCACAGTGGTTCAATTCTCCTTGACTAGTGCTCTCAGATCCTCGACTATGGTGCTGTGGAACAGTGTAGTCAATTTAGAAAGGGGGGGGGGGGGTCTCAGCATGGTCCTGAAACTAGGTGTGTTCACTGAGAACAAGAAATGTAGGTTTGTTAGTCTAAAAAGTAAAGCTCAAACACAGATGAGGGGAAGTGAGAGGTCTGCTGCTTGTTGCCCCTCCACTATTCCCAGTCTAAGGGCACAACGCATTAACTGAGTTTTTTTTACGCCTTTATCCAATCTGATCTACTCTGTGCATCCTCATCTTGAACTGCGACAGTCACAGCTGGCTCTGTCTCACCAAATCTACCCCTTAAACATGTCAATTGTACAGCGCATCTCTTAGTAGGATCATAACAGCATACCATGTCAGCTGATTCACAAAACCAGAGGGATCCTTGTCTGGTTTTGGAAACTGCACAACCATGGCACACAGCTCCAGCTCAGTAGGGTCCATGATCTAGCCTGTATTTGCCTCATTTCTCTAGCTACCTGCACATCTCCTGACTACCTCAGTCACTTTTCCAGCAAATATTCAGGTTTAAAAGAGACTCAACTGTCCAAACTACCAGTAACCTGAAAGCTCAGACTCCTTCACACACTGAGAAGAAGGGGAAGGAGAAAAACCTCTTATAATGCGAGTCGACTCAGTTGGCCTCGTTCTCTGTAGTGTGGAGAAGCCCTGGCTTCCTTAACCCTAGAACTGACCATCACACTCTGCAATGATTTAGCAAAATGAATACACAACCTGTAATGTTTCCAAAAAGCAGTGTAACTATCACTGATCTGACTCAAACTGTCTCCCATGTTCGTCTCATTTCTAATGTGCAAGTCAGCTTAGAAAACACCATCAGT